AATTTTAGCACTATATATATATATATATATATGGCCTCCTTATTCACAATTTTATGACTATATCAACTATTTGATAGAGTAGATTATATTTTTCATCTGAAAATGTAACAAGTATATTTTACTTATTTAAAGCATAATATACAATACCAACACAGCTTTATTAAATGAAATCTAAAATTCGCTCGACACCTGGACTCATGATAATAATGGCTACCGCACCCTTCACCTACAGTGCTTAGTTTTATTCCATATATTCATTTACTTTCTTATATTTATATACATATAGGACCGTTACAATAATAAATTCATAAAGCATAATTTGTGCCTTTGCATCTTCCCTTTTTATTTTGTTTTTTTATTTCTAGATCATAATAATCAACTTACAAAGCATCGTCAGCCAAAAAAGATGGAGGAAACTCATTGGTCGGCTTTTAATGCTAATGGTCAAAGATGTGCCAATTTTGCATTCAATTAGCATTTAATTTTTTATATGTGCTAGAATTCGTTGTGATAGAGTAATGAAGTATCATCTTAGTGTTGCATGAGAACCTAACACACACTCAGACAATAAGAGTGACAGATAGAAACACTAGAAGTCTTACATAAAAATCCCGAGAAGGAAAAAACCTTCAGACTCAGCCCGGTTGAAATGTTCAAGTATGAGTTTGTGATTACACGTACAAATTCATATCATACGGATGAGATAGGGTTACACGATTTCTCAAGTTATAACGGTCATGCACACAAAAGCTTGTTGCCCGACGATATGGAGCGCTCACAGCAGGGAGTTGTTGTTGGAGCTTCGGAACGCCAATTTGGAGGTTGGCATGATGTTCGGAATAAGGCACTGCTCTGTATGATGCTTCATGACTCTAGGGTGTCGTTTGCAGCTTCGAGTTGTATTTTGGCGCTCCGCAGCACAAATCTTGACTCCACATGAAGTTTCGCTACAATGAGCAGAGGGTGGTCGACGGTGATCGTTGATGGCTCGCAGGTGATGGTTGACAACGGTTGACGGGTGCAAAAGCGGGAGGTATTCCTCGGATCTTCAGTGCAGAAGAGATGCTAGAATTTAGCTCCTTCAATCTTTGATCTTCTCCCGCCTCAAGGTCTCGATCCCCTCTCAAGAAAGGGATAAAGCTCTATTTATAAAATTTGGGAGGTCACTTTAGAAATATGAAATGAATTCATACCACTCCACAGGATGACTTAGAGAGATTCCCTTGATTAGACAATATTCGGTGAATATTTGAGTATTTTAGTGATGTTAGAAGTGAGCGATCATGAGCTTGTTGGATTATTCATGCCTTGAAGCTCTATTTGAACATAAGCTTATTAGATTTGGAATTCGTTTGTTTATTCAATTTTGCACTTAAAGCTTCCAAAAGTGATTTATTGGCTTGATTTGACTTAAATTTGACCAATTTTAGTATCATTGGGTTAGTGCAGTCGAGCAGTCTGTAAGTTTGCTAAAATCAGAGTTTTATATGATTTTTAATTAAATTTTGATAATGTCTTGCTAAGAAACTATCTCATGAATCGTGTTAAACCTTGTGATTCATGTCTGATAATGAAAATTTAATGATAGTGTATCATTTTTTATGATATAGAGATCTTGCTTGTCTTGAAATTTTTTTATGTAACATATTTGTCATTTCCATGTTCTAATTTGTTCAAATCTTTTCTAAATGTTACATGACATATGTTTCTTCGAATTGGGGAAAGTGAAGTGATTTTATTTGCTCAACTCTAGAGTATTTAAATATGAAAACATTCACAAAAAAGATATAATTAATATTTCTTAATATATGAAACTTGAGAGATAAATATGGTCTCTACTTTAGATAATTGCCTTAAGGATCGAACCAGCCTTTTTAAACAGTAATTAAATGATTTTTTGAAAATTAAGTCAAATAGTTATTTCTTAATATTAGGCAAAAAGATGTATCATGTCTTAATTGTACAAGCTATTATGTTGTTGACAACTTAAAAAACTACAAACCATGCAGTCTACTTAGAAAAACATCCGACCAAAACTCCGAGCATCATGCAGATCTGTCATTGATTAACTCATCACAAATATCATGTTTCATTCCCACTTAAATTGTTAAAGAAACCAAGCATCTAACTTGGAACAAGAAAAAAACGATCAATTAAAGATTATCAAAATTGTCTTTTGATGACTTGGACATGTAAAATGTCAAAGGAGTTCAATTTAGCATAGTGATGAGAGCCACTTAGAAATCAGTGAGGGAGCCCAGGCTTATTAGATACAACCTAAATTGTTGATCTAGGCTTTTACTTTGATCACTAAATTATACATAGTCAAGTTAGACCATTTAGTCAGACCATATTAAGACAAAGTGTTTTCTAATCGAGTAATATTTGGGTATGGATAAGTATAAAGTCACTTAGTCCTCTATTAGAAAGTTGTTGTGTAGTTATGAAAATTTTAGCACAAGATTTTGTTTCAAACATACTTGGAAGTTCAACTATGTTATCCACTAAGATTATGATGAGTGACATGTTGACATAGCTGACTTAAAGTGGCAACCACCAAAATAAATGACATATTCAGGGAATATACTAAGAGCAATGGTTAGGCAATGACACAAGTTATTAGTTGATACATTGACATACCTAAAGCTACTTTTCAAAATGTGGTCATCTCTTAAAGTTCAATAAAGTGACCCTTGGGGATGCACCATGTGGCTAGGCCATTTGGAAATGAACTTTCCAAGTGGTGGCACATGTAAAAAGATAGCCCATGAAAAGGTTGTCTTCATTGGTCACTTATTCATCCTATAGATGGCTTGATGAGAGTATTAAGCTAAAGCAACCAATAATTAGTTGACATTTTTTAGCTTTGATTGTGCAGACTAAGGTTGATAGCAATCAGAATGCTTGCATCTTTCTTAGCATATATTGATAGAAAAACATTTTCCATGAAGGGAAAATACTATTTTTGGTGGAGCTACAAAACTATAAATCTATCAGAGATGTCCATGAATGACTCAACCTAACAATCGACAAAAAAAAAAAAAAAATATGTTCATGTTGAACTAATTATTTTGAGTAGAATTTGAATCTAAACTATAAATCTGACTATGAAACAAAAATTACAGAAAAAAAACAAAAAATCTCCTGGTAAAAGGAAGAAGATTGAATTCGTGTTACTCATTTGTTCATTTCAACTCAGTACAGCAGTTCGCATCATCCAAAAAAAGGGTGCATTTGCATACAAACCACACAATTCTTATATATTTACATATCTAACAGCTAGACGTTCATATTTGCATACATAACACTTTAATCTATAACATAATATTAAAAATGCTACTATCATTAACTTTTTAAAAGTGAAATACAAATTCTCATGCATAAGGTTTTAATGCCAAGGTGTTATAAATATAAAATATCAAACTAAAGTGTTGGATATGTAAATGCATGTGATTTGTGTGGTATGTAAATTTTTCTTAAAAAAAACTGCACTGTGCAAATGAATTTATGATAACTCCATCAAGCAGGCTCATAAAGGCCCAACATATGCCCATCAATGCAACGCACTGCTGCAACCTATGAAATTATAGCCATGGCATCAGAATATTGCAGAAATATCTAATTTATCTAAGCATTCTAATTCAAAACAATATACCTTCCCATGGATTTCATATTTGATTGGACCATCCAGCTCTGCTCCAAATGTCATTAGCTTCGTAACAGTGCTCTGTATATCAGACACTGTAAAAGATAGTATTGAAGAATAACCTTTCTGCATGGAAACATCACTGTGGTACCAGAGATATTTCAGAATAAATTAAAACTTAAATTACAGAGCAAAATGCGCAAGATGTGTGTAAATATGAGAAGTATTCGACTAACAGGAGAAGACATTTATTATGCAGTATTCAGGACTTTAACATAAGAGCCTCTCAAACCTGATACTTCAAGTTTTGGGGAGATGAAAATAGAAACGCGCCAGTAAATAACATATTAAACTTCAAATTTCTAGGGTTTATTTGGATTTTTTTTTAAACATGTTTGATTGGTGTGTTATTATATACTTTTTTTTTTCTAAAAACAAATTTTCGTATTTTCGATAACACTCAAAATAACTTTTAAGAGGTGTTTGAAATCAACTTTGCTTTTTGTTTTTTATTTTATTTTTTTTATATTTTGATTTAAATTAAAATATGTTATGAAGTTATTTTTAAAAATACTAAAAATATTTATTAAGTATTTTTTGAAAGCAAGTTGATTTGTCTTAAGAATAAAAATAACATATAAAAATTATGGCTACCAAATATATTTTCAAAAACAAAAAAAAAACAAAACTGATGTCAAATAAGCCATTAGATGTTTCGAGTGTTTTTAAAAATAATTATACCTTGATCAAATATATCAAATGACTTGTTTCAAATCAAAACTTAAACAAGACAAAATAAAAATAAAAAAAAGAAATAAGAAACAAAAGTGATCCCAAAAGGCCCCTTGCAGATTTGGTCTCACTATCTACGACCACGATAGGGAAGGGAAGAGGCTCCACTATGTCTTTTGGATACAATTACAATGCTTTTATACAAGGGAGGAATGAAAAAAATCATGCAACAATGAAATATCAGAACAACCTTCACAAAGAAGATGGGAAAAATAAGAAGTTTGAGAAAGGGAAAAAAGGAGATGAACAAAACATGAAAAACAGCCTTGCAATGCCGGAGGAAAATATTTGAGCAATGGAGAGACTCCCTTTCATAGCAATGAATTGACAAGAAATGCCTGCGGCTAGGAAAATGACAGTTGGTCATGTAGCTGTTAGAGGACATCTCAAAGAACTTGACATGTAGCATTCAATCTTAAGATAATCTTGACACATGCAAACCGCACGTCTGACAAGAATGATCAAGTAATGTTGCATCTTCGTAGCGTCGAAGCGTAACATCAGAAAACAGACAAGAATTCCTTTCTGTGACAAGAAGTAACGGAATGAATTTTGAACAGATACTGAATGGGTGACAAAAAGATAGTTGAATCTAGGGTGTAATTGAGCCGAGTCAGCTCGCGAGTTGGCTCTAGCTTGACTCATTAATGAGCTCACAAGTTGAGCTTATCGAGCCACGTGCTTGAGCTCAAATTCAAGTTCATTTATTAAATGAGCTTGAGTACGAGCTTTTGTCTAGGATTGGCTCGTAGGCTCGTGAGCCGGCATGACTAGCCAATTGATGATCACATCAATGCCTTCTCCGACGAACTGTCGTGACACTCCTTTAACTATCGATGTCTTCTCCGGTGATAATCTGATTTTTGGCTCGAGCTCGCAAGCCGGAGCCTGGTGTCATTATTGCGAGCAAAGCTTGAGCTCGAACTCGAGTCTACATTTTGCCAGATGAGCCGAGCTCAAGTTAAGCATGAATCAAGGTCTCGTTTACACCCCTAGTTGCTTCTTGAGTCATGAGTTGAGTAAATTATAGTAGAATATTCTCTGAGCAACAGAGTTAAAAGGAAGATAGCAAAACAGGCGTCTAAGGCATGGATGTTGGTCATTAGACTGAATAAATACAAAGTTTTATGTTATGTCTTTGGTTATTTTGATGTGTTCATGTGTTTGCAACTTGTTTGCAACTCTGACTAATTAGAAGCATCCAAGTTAGATAGTCTTTTCTCTGAATTTCAGAAAAATAACATACTTCATATTTCCTCTATTGTCTGGCTCACTCACACATTCAGAAGATGAAATTTTAAAAAGCATTTAAGCTGGATCATTTATTTAAAGTAAAATAAGACTTGTGAGATAATAATTTATCATTTTATAAGCAATAGAACTGACAATGAAGACCACAGATAATTTAAACAAGAGCAGGATGCCAAAGATAACTCACGTGATTTGACATAAACTCCCAAACAGTATGCACTATACATGAGCATAAGGAGACGATTATCACAATAAGAGTGCCATCATTAGCTTTATCCCAAGTATTTGGGGCTTGCTGAGTTGTATGAGGATTCTTTTAACATATTCTATGTAATAAACCCTTTTGGATGATTTTTATGAAAGTTATGTTAGCTTTACTATCTTTCCTTCATAACCATTCGCCACATATTTTATGCTATGAATCCAATGTGTATATTTTCTAACATTCATTACTAAATGTTCAATCCACATACATTTTACTTTTACTACAATATCTGAACAATATAATAAAGGAGCTAGTAAACAACTCTTAACTCATATCAATTCTTGAATTCACAAATGTGCACTAAAAGCATTTCATGTGGAATTGTCCGCCATTAAATTAGCTAGAAAATTTCAAGAAGAAGAACAATTTATCCTTGGTTTGGAAGGTTCAGCTCCGCACAAGCCTTCAGTCTTAGTGGTCAGTCTTAGTGGACAACAATCGCTGGTGATGAAAGGTGACAATGGAAGTGGTTGGCCGTGGTGCTGAGCAAAAACCATAGCAATTTGTGTGGTGTATTTAAAAATTGACGAAGATAGTAGAGTCTTGAATTTAACAAAATCAATTAAAGAGTGCATTTTAAATATATCAAAATTTTACATTACATTTATTTTTCATTCAACCAAACACCAAACTTTTAAAAGCTCCCATACTTCTTTTGCATTTCCCTAGTAGTTCAATAAACCAAATCACCGCTAAATCAACCGAACAGGTAATCTTAAAGTGAAGTGCTTCGTTTAAAATTTTCCTAAAGTCATGAATATAGCTAAATTGTCTATTTGCTCACCGGACAATTTCTGCTAGTTTTAAAGTTAGTTCAGTAGAATCACATAAACTAATTTCTTTTCTAGACTCAAAGTTCTAATTTTTTTATGTTTCTTGCTCTTCTCCACTTTTAATTTAAAATGACAAACTCTTGGAGTTGTAAGCAAAAACATTTTTCATTGAATGTTTAAAATTTTAACACGATCAAAATGAAAATATTAGCAAAAATTTTATGATTTTGTCAGGAAACAATGCACTTATATTGGATATTTTGGGTAAGCAAGAGATTATATGCTATCTAGATAACATACTACATAAACATTGAAGGCGTCACAAAATATTTTTATTAACAAAGCCTTGAGGCCATGAATTCAAGCCCTTACCCGCCGCCGATTAAAAAACCTACAATATTAAAGCCTTCAAAATTTTACAAGGTAACAAGAATAGAAATGTCTGAAGAAAACTTGAGCAACTACTACATATAGCAGGATGAATATGTAGTACAACTAGATTGCCGGATAAAAATGAGTACATCAGATAACATGCGAAATTAACTCTTTGGTTGATATTTTGATAGAAACTAAATTTAGAAAAAACATTAATGAAAAATGGCTAAGGGCTATATATTAGATGTGAATCCAAAAACAAAAAAGAGCACTAAATTTTTGTGGCTACATTTCTAGTTGAGATAGGTGGTACTTTGCCTCTAGATGGAGAGATTTAGATTGGGTTCCCCCTTGTGGTTACAGGCAACTAGTTATATCTAAAAGCATATCATTGCACTTCAATATTTAAAAAGTTATTTGGCAAAAAATTATAATTGTTTCAAAACTCAGGTTCAAAGGAAGCAAACATATAACCAAAATCTTTCACCATCTGTGAAGGTTGTTGTCCACCCCCTTCAGTTTATATATGCGCACAAAATTTAAAATAAATCTTAATGGATCTATGGAATTAGAGCCTTCAAACCCTCCCCATGCTGCGCTATGTTTGCAGAGGATGTCATTATTTCATCAACCTAAACATAGGAATGTCAAAAATTAACCTAATACAACAACACGTCTCAAACACAGCTAAAAAAAAACAAGGTTCCAATTGATCCGATTAACTTCCGTGTTGAGTTCGGGCTTGAATCCTGACTAGTATAATTTTTTAGTCAAGTTCAGCTTGACCAGCCAACCCAAAACAAGCATTAACATGACCTGAAGTTGAGCCAAATTATTGTTATGCCTTATATTAGATGTGTTATAAGGGCTAGATTTAGGTCAGCCAGTTTGAAGATTGGTAGGGTTCGGAATATTTTTTATGATTTGGTTAGTAAATAGTAAAGTTTGGGAAATACATATTTGGTTCAAGTCAACCTGAAACCCGGCCTGTTAACCTAAATTGACCCCCCTATTCAAAAATGTTTTATCATGGATTCGCTAGCTAAGTTGGCCCCTCTATTCAATCATATAGATGAGGACGACATTGTCACAAATTCTAAACAGCTTAAGACTCAAAAGTTAATTTACCACCTATTGAAGAACAAATAAATGTGAGGTTTCATATCCTATTTCTCAAATGAGATAAAAATAAATAAAAAATTACCATCATTCTCCAATATTCATAAGACTACGAGTAAAACGTCACAATTGAGAGCACGAGATGATATAATCACCTATCTGATTGATATTTTCTACTCAGTCAATATATTGCATGAAATTGTGTGCTACTATTTTGTAGTGCAGTACGGCAATCCTTAGGAATGGTCTCTAATAAACTCATTTCATAATTCGGTTATAATATCACTAAACAAAATTATCATAAGTATAGTTTAGTAAGCACAAAACAAGATAAACGAATCATAAAACTAACCTTAGTAGTTATGATTAGGACAAGATGAAATCTGCGAAATTGTTCATTATTTCTGAGTTATCAAATGAAGATAATTGATTTCTTTCAAAAAAGCCTTAAATAACTACTTATAAAGGCCGTATACTTATATGATTTAAAACTGTATTATCAATAAGTAGAATAGGTTTCCCTTTGGCCCTTCTCATCAGATTTAGACATTTAATATTCCAATTAAA